ACAGGGGTGCCTGGCTGGCTGGCTCAGTCAGTTAGGCGGCCAACTCTTAATTTTGACTCAGGTCATGATCTCAGGGTTTTGAGATTGAGCCCTGTGTCAGCCTCACACTCAGCATGGAGTCAGCCTGAGATTCTCTCTCTCTCTCCCCCGTCCTTCCCCCATTCACACTTATTCTGTTTCTCTCAAAATCTTTTTAAAAAATGGTTTAATATATTATTTCCATTAATATGTCAAAAGATATAAAATCATGTCATAATTTTAATAGATTTGATTAAATCTATTTCTATTTCTATCAAAAAGCATTTGATAAAATTCAATGCCCATATCTAGTTTAAAAACAAAAATAACAAGTCTTAAAAGATTAGTAATATGAATATTTGTCCTTTACATAACAGAGAATATTTAAAACAATATATACTGCTAATGAAGCACTAGAGATACTCACAGGGATGCCTGGGGTAGCTCAGCCAGTTGAGTGTCTGACTCTTGGTTTCAACTCAGGTCATGATCTCAGGGGTCGTGGGATCAAGCCCCATGTGAAGCCCTGTGTTGGTCTCTGCACTGAGCAAGGAGTCAGCTTGAAGATGCTTTCCTTCTGCCCCTCCCCCAACTCGTGAACACACTCTCTCCCCGTCACTTTTCTTCTTTCTCTAAAATAAAATTATTTTTAAAAAGAACAAGACGGGGGCGCCTGGGTGGCTCAGTGGGTTAAGGCTCTGCCTTCAGCTCAGGTCATGATCTCAGGGTCCAGGGATCGAGCCCCGCATTGGGCTCTCTGCTCAGCGGGGAGCCTGCTTCCCCCCACATCTCTGCCTGCCTCTCTGCCTACTTGTGATCTGTCTGTCAAATAAATAAATAAAATCTTTAAAAAAAAAAAAAGAACAAGACAAAAATTTTCTACTTTGTTCTAGATGTTTCAAACAATATAATGAAAAAAGTGAAAACTATTAACTATTGAAAAGGAAAAGGCATTATTTGAACATAATACAATTCTATATATATATTATATAGCTTATGTGTATGTATATACACACACACAACCTATAAGTTTCTGACTCATTTAACCAGGGATACAAAGTTAAGAGAAAGCATATGAATAGATTGAGAACAGAAGTTGAGGCATCATACATTTCCATAGTTTTCTTAGTTCTTTTTTTTTTTCTGTTAAGAGTAGAGAAAGAACCCAATTTCTTGCTCTGTCTCTGCTTTCTTATACTACCTTCATACCTGCATTTCAAAAGAAAGTATACCAACACTCTGTGTGCTTCTAAGAAAATATTTACATTCTCTTGGTTCTTGAAATGAACTTAGCACTAGCAAGACCACATCCTTCTCAGGGTTGGGGTAGAAAGCAGAGTCACTGACCAGGAATTCCCAAACAGTGTCCCCCTCTATCCAACTCTGTGATGTGCTAGGAAGTTCATTTTCTGCACATATGTAAGAGAATCTGACTATTGGGAATTCGCAAAAGATCTCAGAAAGATGACCAGATTCACAATGAATATGTAAAATAGTTTTCTTTATGCTATCAATAATTATTTAGAAGATAAAATGAAGGACAAGTCCATCTATAGTAGCAAACAAAATAAAGTTCCTAGGCCTAATCTTAGGAAGAAAAGCATGACTTTATAGGTGTAAGAATGAACTTTACTGTGAAATAGCAAAGAAAACATGAATGAAAGAGACACTGCATGTTTCTGGAAAGATAAATAGTGCCAGAAATTATTTATTTGGAAATTAACCTTTTGGCGGGGAGGGCACAGGGAGAGGGAGAGAGAAAATCTTAAGCAGTCTCCATGCCCAGCTCAGTTTGATGCTTGGCTCAGTCTCACAACCCTGAGATCACGACTTGAGCCGAAATCAAGAATCTGACACTTAACCAACTGAGTCACCCTGGAGCCTCTGAAATCAACTTTTTGATTCAACTTTGCAAAACAGTGCTAAAGTTCACTTGGGAAAAAATGTATGAGAATAAATAAAATTAGACAACAAACAGTAAGTTAGAAGGACTTGCTCCACCAGATATAAAAAGTTATCATAATATTTCTGTAAGTAAAGCAGTGTAGTACTGGCATGAAAATGACAGGTACACATTAAGATCATTAGGAAAGGTACATTAAGATCATTAAGAAAGTTAAACAGCGCTGAAACAAAATCTTAGCATATATGATAAAAGATGCATGGAAAATAAACAGAATGTCTAAACTACCCTATGACTGAGTATGAGGAAATTGACTACCTTGGAAAAATAAAGTTATGCATAAATACAAATATTATTGATTTTCTCCTGTATTCTTTTGCAATTTTTTTTTATGATCATAGAAGAAAAATTTAAATGATATTGCTAGGATGTTTCACAGAAGCTCATCCAATATAGGGATCTGAACACTGAAAAAAGCTCTGGAGGAGGTCTAACCTTTAATTCTGATTCTTCCTCTATCTAGTTGTTCTTAGGTAAGTTCTTTCATCACTGGGTCATTTCTGAAAATTCTAAAATGAGATATTTGAGGGGTTCCTGAATGGCTCGGTCAGTTAATTATCTGACTCTTGATTTCTGTTCAGGTCATGATCTCAGGGTTGTGAGATCAAGCCCCACATTGGGCTCCATGCTGAGCGTGGAACTTAAGTTTCTCTCTCTCTCCCTCCCACCACCCCTCTCGAAAAATAAAATAAAATAAAAAATAAAAAATGAAATGAGAGATTTGAATTATTTTCTCCATTTTCCCATCCAAGTCTTAAATTCTATGTTCTGAACTATGTTATCAAACCTAACTACCATGCAGAACAACATCTACTTGGGGGATAGTAGCATGAAATCTGGAGTCACATTGTTTGGGTTCCAGCACTGATTTCAATACTTACTAGCTGTGTGAACTTGGGGAAAATTTTCATCCTCTTTGTATTTATTTTCTTAGCTAAAAATAAACTGAGGGTATTGATAGTACTTCATAGGCTTATATTGAGAAAGAAAGCAATTCATGTAAGTACATGAAACAATGTCTGGCATATACATGCTCAATAAAATATTTTTTTCAATCTGAGATGCCAGGAGCTTAATTCTCCACCACCCATCTATCCACTCAGGCCCACCAAAACTGAGGCCTTCCTGACTCTTTTGAAGGAGATTTTGATAGGCATTGGTAGGAGAGAGATTCTGTGGTTAGGCAAAATTTCTCCAGATGATTCTGATCCTCTGCCTTTTCCTTTTACTCCCAATTCTAAAGAAACACCATCAAGGTCTTTAAAGTGGAAAAACAGGGGCACCTGTGTGGCTCAGTGGATTAAAGCATCTGCTTTTGGCTCAGGTCATGATCCCAGGGTCCTGAGATCGAGCCCCCCCATCGGGCTCTGTGCTCAGCGGGGAAACTGCTTACCCCTCTCTCTCTCTCTGTCTGCCTCTCTGCCTACTTGTGATCTCTGTCTGCCAAATAAATAAAATCTTTTTATAAAATAAAATAGAACAACAGTTCCCAAACTCTACAACAGGTGAGTAAGGTTGATCATCAGCACATTCAAAGACTGACAAAATCAGTGTGATAAAAAAATATATATTTCAATTTACTTGATAGTTACACTTAGCAGCACAGGGGATGAATTTCATGCTTTATTCCCCTCAACATGTTTGTTAATATTCCCAGAACATTTTTACCTTAATATAGTTTGGGAAGTGCTAGAGAGTTTACATGCAGTTTAACACTCACAAATTAAATCATGTACCAATACTATATTATATCCAGAGGTTGATGAAAATCTAACCTAATCTAAATTGAATGCTAATTGAAGTATTATTTCATTTTCCAACTACATTCTACTGATTTAAAAAGAAATACTCATAAATGTCTGTGATCAGTTCTTTTGTAATTTACTATTGATCATAGGCACTCTAAAGTCTAAGGGCCATGGTAAAAATTGTCTGCTATTGGCTATTGTCATTTAATTTTATTACTGCTTTATTTTGGCCACATTAGTACTATAATAACATGCTTTCTTTAAAAAAGATTGCATACTAAATATTTTTCCTGAAACTTAGAGTTATACAGCCCTTTTAGTAGAAAATATAAGGAAAACCATTTCATATTAAAATTCATCTTTGTTTTATTTCAGTGAAAGCAATGTCAAAATTCACTCATAAATGCTAACATAGGTCTTATTTTGCTTAAATTTCTCACCAAACATCATCCATTTTTCCTGAAATGCTCAGGTTGTCCCTAATATTTTTATAGGTGCCCAGGCCAGAGCAAATGTTCTGTAGTGACAATTTGGATCAAGGAAGAGGTTGTATTTGATAGAGAATATTTCTACAGCCATAGTAAACCTTGACCCAAGAGCAATGGGAAATAGTAGGGACTTTCTCTCTTACTATTGCATGTCCCATCACAACAGATGATTCCATGGACTACAATGAGTGGGAAGGTAGTCTGATGTATTTGGTATGAGAAAGAGAAGACAGAACTTTTCTAAACTGATATGGCAAATCCTAAATCTGGAGCAGCAGAAAGGGAAATGGAATTTTTATAGCCATTGGGATTCTGGGTAGGGTAGTAATTTCTTGGGCAATTTCATATGTACCATGTTTCAGAGAGAAGGAAAGACAGAAGTTTCAGGTACATATTGAACAATCTACATATAAAAGTATTCTCTCTTGCTCTCTCACTGTAATTAAGTTGATAATTAAACTTAAGTCCACAGGGATGATTTGAGGGTTTTTTTTTTTTTTTGCAACGTATCTCTTAATATTTTCTGAATAGTTTTCCCTTTATAAGTTTGGAAACTGAAGATTATTTGAAATAACAACTTGAAATTTTGGATTAGAATCAAGTAAATCTGGAAAATGGATATTTGATAAGTGACCAAGACAAGTTACCGAGGCGGCTATAAAATTAGGATAATGAAGTGAATTCTCCTACTCATAGTATTAATTTCTTAGAGAAAGGAACCCATTTTATTCAGGGAATTGTTTTATTTACTATATTCTAATATGTATTTAAAATTAATTTCAGATTCTTTTAGTGACCACTATACTCACTTTGAAAGAGTTGTGAAGGCTCTTCTGATCAATGCTTTAGATGAATCTTTTCTGGGAACATTGTATGGTAAGTTAATACAAATGGAACAATTAGAGTTTTTTTTTTTCTTTTTCCAATTTTTTAACACCCTACTAATGTAATATAAGATAAGATATATACTTAAGCAAAATCAAGAGACCCATTTTAAGGCCCTCTAATTTTTCCCCCTAGGATCAGCTACACCAGAAGCCCATTCACATCAAAAACTTTTTACTGTTTATTATTTATGATATGTGGAAAGTACAAAAGAAATATGTCATGTTCCCCTGCCTTTAGAGAGTATACAGTGAATATGAGGATGTAGGACATAGACTGAAAACAGCAGAGTAGTTCAATAGCCTTGTGTTATCCCAGACTCTCTAAGCTCATTGAATTTCACCAACAGTTATATACTGTTTTATGCTTTTGTGCCTTTGCTCATGCTGTTCCCTCTTTAAAATGAATGTAAAATTGTTTTCACTGTGAGAGCTACCATGACCCACTCAATTAATATTTTTACACCCTCATTTGTGCTCTCAGTGTCCTGGTGGTACTGCTGTATATACACTTTTCATACTGCATTGAAAATATATTTTTGCCTTCCTCCCTCCTAAGAGTACAAGAAGAACCATACCTTAGATATACACTTATATCTTGCATCTAGCACAGAATCTGGAAGTTAATAAAGACTGAAAATATGTTGTATTGAATATCTACCTAATTGCCTAAGTGAGATTTCGTTCACATTTTATTGAACAAGTATTTATTGAGTGCCTAAGGGCATTTATTTGAGGACTGGGGATATGCAATGACTATGACATGCAAGATACCTGCCCTCATGTTGCTTAAAGTCTAGTGGAAGAGACAGACCATGAATGAGTAAACAAATATATAACATAATTTTAACTAGTGATTAGTTCTTGGAAAACAAAAACAATGGTAGGTTAAGGAGACCCAAGTGTTATAAAGATAAGGAAGGTATCTGTTAGATTGGTCAAAGAAGGTCTCTCAAGAGGTGACTTTTAAATGAATGAATCAGGGGAAAAGTAATGCATAGATTTATCTGAGAACACAGTAAGTGCAAAGACACTTAGGTAAAAGTAAGTTTGGTGCGATAGATGAACGCTAAAGAAGAAGTGGAGTATATATCGAAGGGAATATTACCCAGCCATAAAAAAGAATGAAATCTTGCCATTTGCAACAACATGGATGGATCAACAGGGTATAATTCTAAGTGAAGTCAATCAGACACATACTGTCTGATCTTACTTGCATGTGGAATTTAAGAAACAAAACAAATGAACAAAGGAAAAAGAAACAAACCAACAGACTCTTAACTATAGAGAGCAAACAGGTGGTTACCAGTGAGGAAGTTGGTGGGTAGATAAGTGAAACAGGTGGAGGGAATTAAAAGGTACACTTACTGTAATGTGCACTGAATAGTGCGTAGAACTGTTGAATTACTATATTGTAACTTGAAACTAATATAACACTATATGTTAGTTTTACTGGAATTAAAAGAAAATAAGTTTGATGTATTCAAGGAACAAGTAGAGGCCTCTATGTTTTTTTTTCTTTCCCTAGTGCTCTGATGGAATGTTTTTTTCTTCATAAATTTCAAATGCCTCTAACCAATTAACCAAGTATCTTTCTAAAACTATGGGAAGAAATCCTTTTGTATTTAATTACTTAAATATTTCCTAATAATGTTTCTCAACCTTGGCACTATTGTATTTAAGGCTGGATAATTCATTGGTGTGATGTTTTAGATAGATAGATAGATGATAGATAGATAGATATTTCCAAAGGGCTAAGTGATTATTTGTTGTTGTCATTGTTGTTGTTCCCCTGAACAGATGGTACCAGACAAAAATCGTATGCACAAGATATGTTGACATCTCTCCATTATTTGGATAACCGCTTTGTTCAGCCTCGTCTAGAGAGTTTAGCTTCTAGAAGTCGTTGGAAAGAGCAATATAAGGTATATGGTTTAAATTGGTTTTACATTTCTGGCTGAGAGGGTTGGGAGTAGCAGACCTATCAGGATTTAAATATCCATTTATTAAACTGAATATTGACTGAATACTAACTGAATAATCTTCTAAATTATTGGCATTTTTCTTTGTTAAATAATCAGCTTGTTTCTCACCTTTTCTAAAGGCTGCTATTGTTTTAATTATTATAGTACTTATTATATGTATCTGGTACTTAGGTAGTTCTAAATGATGAATAACTTTAGAACATCTCCAGAGCTTAGCCCATCTATTAAAGTGAAGTTTTTCTCACAGAATATTAATTATTGTTTCAGAAAAGAGTTCCACTGCTAAAGAAGTTTGAGAAACAGTGGGTTGAACTTAAGCTTAACTGAAGGACTTTTCAAGGAACATTAATATGTGAATTATACTCTAAATCTTCAAGAGGGTGATGTAGAATGCAATACTTTCCAAATTTGTATTTTCCTTTGAGGCTGCTTTTCATGAGCTACTTTTTATCACCTCCTAGAATAATGGATTTCCATAATATAATTTGGGAAACAGTGGCCTAGGTTGTCTTTGACATCCTTCTTGACTTTAAGGTTTTGTAATTATTTGTAACTAAGATTTTGTAATTTTACCAATTTCAAGAAAGCATCTTTTTAATATAAATTATTATATTCCATGTTATCGCATAGATTTTTATTTTATGATCTCCAATAGTAGAGGCTATCTGATATAATTTTTAAGGGTTTTTTTCTTAATCTCCCTACTTCTAATATTCTATCTTCTAATGATTCACAAGAGGGGGAAAAATGCAAGGTAACAGAAGTTCAAGTTCCTAACAGTCCTTCTAGCACTTAAATCATTAGCTGATCTACCTCATTTATGTCAGGAGATTTGGCTCATCCAAGGCCTGTTCAGTCTTGAGTTACCTGATAAATTAGCCACAGATAGTTTAGGTTTAAGGGACAGTTATGGGATTACAGAAATAGAAGACTTCAGTTTGGAGAATGGCTGAGTTTAGGGTCACCATATATATCTTTTTGACTTTGCATGGGTTTTTAACCTTTCTAAACTCTGGTCTCTTCCTCAGATACAAAAAATATTTGCCTACTTTGAAGGGAAATATTTACTTATCTGGAAGGTAAAATACATAGCACACTTCTTAGAACATGGTTATACCATATAGTATTTTATATACCATATAGTATTTTCTTTAATAGAAAAAAAGCACATATTTATTGATCACTTAACTTTTCCAGGTAATTTTCGTGCAATGCAAAGTGTCTTATTTGATCTTCAGAGTAACCCCATGAGGAAGGCACTAATCTTTCCTTTGTTTTAGAGTTGAGAAAACTATGACTCTGAACACAAGGTTACACAGCTAGTCATTATCTAGGCCAATATTTAAACCTAGAAATCATAAGGTCGTAGTATTTCTATGACTCCAAAGCCCATGCCACTCTGCTATATTATGCTTAACTCTACCCTGGTATACTATGCTGAATTTGGATTACCTGATGCTGATAAAGTAACTGCAAGACACAAGAAAATATTAGCTTAAAAATTTAGAGACATGGGAAATTCAATATGATCTTGGTCAGAAGTAGCTGTTATGCTGCAAAAAATAAGTTATGTGACAGATCAGCAATGAAAATCTTAACAGCTTAACCCAACAAAGCTTATTTTTCAGTTATATTTTATGTCCGGTGTAAATCTACAAGTGTTTTGCATATTGTAGTCATTCACAGAGCCAAGCTGATAGAGCTTTCATCTTGGATGTGCTTCCTTACCTACCACAGAAACGAGAAGGGAAAGTGGTTTAGTCACCTAGTCACTCTGAATGTCGTCCTTTAAGTGACATGTGTCACAAACTGCCATGAAATATGAGAAATAGTAAAAGTGGACAAAATGCAATGAAGTTGTGAATCATACAGTGTTAAAAAGGAGACTATTGGTATAGTGAATATTTAATTACTATCAGGCCAATAGAGAATACCAATGTGGATTAGTAACCCTGCTAATATGCTCACTGTATACTGTTCAAATATTACAGTAAAACCTAATTTACACTACTAACTATGACAGTAGTATCTAGCACAGGCCTAGAGTGTGAGCAAAAATATACAACTAGAAGTAATTGCACAGCTTGATAAAGCTTGTTTATGAATGCCAAATATTTTCTCAGTTTGCTTACTGATAGCTAATTCAGCTATTGGACTATCTGTATCAGTGCTGGCCACCTAGCAGTCCTAGTTCCAGCTTACTGATTTTCATAGGCCTTTTAGTAAGTAGCCATAAGACGATCAAATCATTTCTGAAATATTTTGTGGGAAATAGGATATAATTTACACTGTAGAGACTGAATGTGATCTGGTTTTTCTCAGTTTTTGACTAAGCTAAATGAATTCCGTCTTTTCATTACAGTATCCTGAATTTTTGCTGCTCTTTTTTTCTGTTTTTAACTATAATATCTCATTTATGCTAATTAGAGAGAGGGAAGAGAAATAAAATCTGTGAAGAACACTACTTAATAGTAAATCAAAAGTAGGAAACTAATTTTTTTTCTAGTCTGATTTCTTGTCATTGAGCAACCTAAATTATCTTTTTATTTAAAAATATCTTGTCAAAAATCTACTGTGTGCTCTGTGTTAAAGTAAGACATAACAGTGTGTTTTGCTCTTATGTCTTACCCCATTATTGTGATTCCAAATATGGGTTTTAATTTGGCTAGGTTCTTTTTATGTTTTACGTTGTTGTGGTCTTTTCCAGTCTTGGAAAGCTTCATTATGTTTTTCAATTTTTTCCAGGAGCGGGTGGAAAATTATTCTAATGTAAGTATCCATTCGAAGAATCCTGAAAACTGTTCCTGCCAGGCCTGTGGATTGCATCGCCATTGCAAATACTCGGTGCATTTATCAGGAAAGTTGTACAACACCAGGACTATGGAAACAGATGACTTCATGTCACAAGATAAACAGGTATCTTTCCCTCTCATTTTAGTTTTCAGTATTTAGAAATTTTCAATACCTAGCTTGCACAAATAACCCTGTTATTTTTACAGATGGAGAAAGCACTAAGAGAAGTGAAAAGAGTACAAGGAAAGGTATACTTTTTGAATGAGAAAAATATGTCTAGCATAGGTCTATGGCAAATGCACTCCTAATTCAGATCCTAAACTTTGTGTAAGAGCACATCACCCAACCTGCGGAGAGGGGGAAAGGGTGCAGGGTGAGAATGAAAAGAAATATAACTGGGGCAAGGGAAACAAAAGTCCCCTTTGTGTCCAAAGGAGAATTTAACCCAAGTGGAAAATTTTATGACAGATAATCTACCAAATTAACAGTCCCCAGGTAAATTATTGAAGATGCCTGTCATCTTAATATGAGAATAGAAAGAAAACGATATTTTAGCCTAGAATATATCAGAAGTGTGTCAAATCTAGATAATTGACAAATACTTAAGGTGCTATTAATTTTTAATGAAAAGACAAAACTGAAGAAAATATTGGAAAATTTGAAGAAAAGTATTTGATAAAGCAGTACAGTATGAAGAGAGAAGTGCAGGTGTAGTCTACTTCTATTTATTTTTTAATCTTTATAAAAGTATTGCATTTATAAATGCAAAAATATTAATATTGAGCGCTTCCTCTGGTGAGTGTGTATATCCATGAAGGGTGTGTGTGTTTGGGGTGGGGGGTTGGCTCTTAGAGTTGCCTCTAAATACTGCCAATCAGTTATTAAGCTAGAAATAGATTATTAATCTATATCCTTCTACTACATTGGGTAGTATGATACCTTAGTACTAGTGGCAATAATTGACCAGATCCCTCTAAACAATCTGCAAGGATCACTTAGAAAGTTTACATGGGGATAATAAATTAAAAAATAGTTTTTAATGCATCATTTGGCAAGCTACTATAAAAACACATTTCTTTTTTCAACATAGTTAATATGCAAATCTCCACATTGTTTAAAAACTGATCTATGATTTTTTTATGAGGTAAGACACATAGACCCCTAATAAAAGTGATTTAGTACTTTAAGGATCATGTTCTATTGTATAAGGCAAAAATAGTGCTGTACATCTCTTTGATGTCTACAGCTAATCCTGGAAAGGGAAGTGAGTTAGAAAACCATTTCTGGAGTTCTGATATTCCTGTGAAAGGGTAAAGATTCTGTATAAAAAAGTTATTCAAATATCTAAAAAATAAAAGCAAAGAACATTGATATACTAGTCACACAATGGAAAAACATCAAAGTTAACAAATGTATTAGAAAATGATTATTCTCCACCTAAAGGTATACAATTAAAACCTACCTTAAAATGCAAGCTGATAGCTCTCAAAATAGCAAAGTATTTTAAATCAAATGATAAAATGCAGTTCTGTTATGGCTGCATTGAAACTAGCAGCTTCATGGACAGTAAAATTCCTAGAGATAAAAAGATTGGGATACATCTTCTTAGAATACTAGATAACTACATATAGCCGGAATCATAAAACTACACATATTCAGTGCTGGTAAGTTTATGCTAGGCAAAGTAATGCGATAAAAGCAGATGACACAATCATGAAGTTCATTGAAGCATTTACCCTTTCTGTGAACATTTACTAACAATGGTTTAGGCTTTTAAAATGTATCACATTTTGGGGAAATGAGAGTATTCTAAAGGTAATCTTAGGTTTATTGATCTTCATTAGTCTAAATAGCTCCAAGAAGGTAGGAATTAGAAATGGAAAGAAGTAAACTATAATGTTAAATATTTTCAGTGGGTATTCTTGTTTTGTACAGGTAAACAAAAATTTAAATAAGGATTTTTAAATACCTCTCCTTCCTTCTTGCCCCAACTTAAAAATTTTATACAGATAAATTCCTCAGTTTTGTGGAAATAGAAAATACAGTGTGGTGGACATTTTTTAAAACTATCTTATTCTTTACTGTACTTTATCCAGAACAACTATAGGAGACTTCTCCCACACAATCTACTTTGATGACAGAAATGGAGAGACAGAGGGTACCCCTAGTGGCCACTGCAACTATTGTTGTACCTTTTTCACTCAAAGTAAAAACAGAGGTATTGACAAGGGAATTGTTAGAGTTGATATAACTGGTCTGATGATGATGTTTAAACGGGAAGTTTATTAGGATTAAACACGCAATGTACAATGATACCTGATTATTTCTAATCATCTGAAAAACAGAAAGGTTTTCATAGAACTTGAACAGAAATGTGAACATCGTTTTCTTCAACTTTTGAGGATTTTTAAGAAAGATTATAAGCTGTCCCAAATACCATCTTCACAAGATGATGCATCAAACCTTACTGTTCCTGATCATATGTAACTTTTATTCAGTTTTTCTAATACAGTCTTCATTTTATTACTGGTTTTTTTGCCCATATACTCAGATTATTTATTGAACTCATCACCTCTGTGAACCCTTGCTGTGTGGCTTCAGAAAAGCAATACAGTTCTTTGCAGATTGTCACAGTACAAGTTACATAGATCAAAACTGTAACTATACCACTTGTACTAAACTCATGAAAGCATAATCCATAAGTTAATTTAGGCACAGAGACAAATACATAATTTAACAAGGAGTTTGTCTATTTCCTCAGGTTACTCCATGAGAAGAAGATTGATCAAGTAATAATGTGTTTAGTTGTAATGTTTACTTTTCAGTTTTCCTATTTTAGTTATTAGTGTATATAACAGAGTACATTCTGAAAGAGGAATGTTCTGGTTGGTTGATTTCACAAGAAAAGTATTCTTAATCATAAAACCCTGGAAGTCCATATAAATATAGAAATTAAAATTCTCCTAGTTTGCTAACAATAAAGTATTAATGTGTTATAATCATATCAGAGTAACTAAGGAAACAAATATGACTTAAACACAAAGTTACTTTTTAATTGACAGAATTTTTCGGAAAAAATTATTTAGTGAAAAACTGCCAATATTGAGTATAACCATATACTTATAACTCTTATAACCATAAGAGTTTATTTCCATTTTACATGTTACTTCTAAGCTAGAAAAATATCATAATCCAGGCGTTTTAAACTCAGTAACTATGTACATACAATTGCTTGAATGCTTTTCTTGCTTTCAGGTATCCCCAAACTTCTGTGTTAAAAGCCATTTTTCTCCTCCTTCCAAACTTGGGTAGCTGTCTCCTGAAGACTCAGTTCAAGCATCACCTACTCAACGACTCTTCTCATCTCTGAATTGGGTTAATTGTCCTTCCTCTCTACCTTGATAGCATCTCTTGCCCAGCATTTGACACATTGTTCTGTAATAATTTGTTTTTCTCCCAACACTGTAAGCTCCCCTAATACAAGTAGTACATCTTTACAGTGCTTAGCCCAGTACTTGAAGCATAACAGATGCTCAGGTTTTTTTTTTTATCTAAGTTATATAATGAGAGAAGGTAAAAGAACTATTGTATAAACATTTTAAAAATTAATAATGCATTATTAGATTTTGCTAATATACAGCAAGAAAGGCTGTATAATCATTACTATATTTTTTACTTCATTTGTCAGATAATAATGTTTATTCTTTGATTTAGGTGTTTACTGTTGGCAGAATTTGTGCTGAGCGTACCAGAATTTATCATAAACTGAAACATTTTAAGTTCAAGCTGTACCAGGAATGTTGCTCCATTGCAAAGACAGAAGAAGTTGAAGACGAGCAGGTTAAAGAAACAGTGGAAAGAATTTTCAGTCAGTCAAAGGATAGTGGCTGGATTAAGGAGGTAAGGTGAATATAAAAGAATCATCTCGTTCATAGATTCTGGAGCCTAATTATGATCAGCGAAAGGATACAAATGACTAGAAGATATTAAATTTTAAAAGAGAATCTCTCCTTCTGCCCCCAACCCCGTCTTTGTATTTTCTCTTCTTCCACCCATTCCTTTCATGCTTATCATTGTCCAACGCTGAACAGGTGCCCTGATGTTCTAAGCATTCCTTCAGCTCATCAGATAAATTGAAATCAGCAATAATACCATTCTGTAATGAAGGGCCTCTGTCCTTTCACTTTTATATAAGTGGTATTCCTTACATATATATTTAGTCCCCTTATTTTCTTTGACGAAGTATAGGACTCACCTCTGCTTGTCTGCTTCCTATTCTTTAGAACAGTTCTTGTGACCCGAGAGTGAAGAAGCACCTGGTGCCAATCTGAGGAAAGGATCTCGGCTGCCAGTTCTAATACCACCCACATCCTCTTCTTGAGGACATGGGCTGAGCAGTGAGCACTGTAACTGAAGATCAAGGGGAATGCAGAGGTTTCAGGCCACGGCACTGATTTTGATTCCCCCAAATCCTGTTGATCACTAAATTTGATATCAGGGATAAAGTGGGGGTTTTGAAGAGTGCACTGGATTCCCGAAGATCTGCTGGCAGCTCATAAGCTCTGGTCTGCTCACAGAGCTTTTAGAATTGCTTATGGTACTTGGAAAGAATGCTAATATGATTGCAATCTTCTAAAACAAGTCTAGTTACGTGAATGTATGAGAGAAATCATATAGTAGATTTGCAGGCAACTCCGATCAACAGTATATTTAATCTTAAAAAAAAAGGCTGACTTAAGATCTGTTGCCTGGATTATTTTTATCATAGGGAATTTGTAAAAGAGGAAGATAAAAAAGAAGAAAGCTTAGTGAATAAACTTATAAGCAAAGGGAAAGAAAAAGAGAACAAACAACAGGAACTTGTCAGGACATGTCATGTTCCGCAGAGGTCTCCCAGTCTGGACAGTGACATCAGAACTGGTTTCCCTCTGACAATTATCCTCCTACCACAAACCCCACCTGGTGATCTCTCTGCATCTCCCCCACCCAATCTGGACCTTTCTGTAGTCTTTCTCTCATTTTACTCTCCTCAGCTTTTTATCTTTTACTTTGCTTCGACTTCTCTCCCAGTGCTTTCCTCCCTGTCCTCCTCTGTGCTTTTCTATTTGCTTTAGGGGGGAACCATTACTTATCCAGTAAGTCCCGTCTTCATTTTCCATGATGACGTGAAATTCTTAGCTGCTTTTATTGGTGCATTTAAGGGTTGCCAACCCTCTAGTGGAGGTGAAAAACCTACTGGGACACCATTTTTTAAAGAATTGTGTACTAGGTATAGAAAAATCACTGTGCACATACTGTACATATTATGTAATAATAGTATATATTAAGATGAACATCAAACTTCTTGCAGAGAAAAACTAAAAACACTACTAGATCATGTACCTTAGAGAACGATTAACAGGGTTTCTAACAGAAGGGACCTGGAATAAGAAAAAAATATTCTTAGGAGGAAAAAAGTCAAGTGTTCTATTAAACTTCAAGAACAACACACAGCATTGGGCAGTTATTTCAAGTTCATGCATGTTTAGGACAATGTGCACATTTTTTTCCACATGTAATACCAAAGAGCTTCATTTTCTTTTTGGGATCCTTCCTGCTTTAAAAATACTTATCTATGGATTTTCTCAAAAGATGTCCTAGAGACCAAAGTTTAGAGCCACTGTAAACCCACATGCAGCTTTCTGTGCTGTGATTAAAATTCAGAATTTATCAAGTTCTCTGACATTTCGCAGCATCACTCCGCCTGCCCCTCAGTGTGAGTGTCCTTGTGTGACACCATTGCATGTGCTTGTGACACACAACTTCTTCTTTGGCTGCAGGCTCATGGTCATAGCTACCCTAACCCTTCTGAATGCCAGGGCTCAGTGCTGCTCCAGTGGCCCCATCTGTGGCCCTTTTTCCTCTTACTTCCTTATTATTATGTCAACCTATTCTTTTACCTCATACAAACTATCTGGTCCTGGCTTTCCTCCTAGTTTGTTTTACACACCTTGCTTTTCCCCTTACCTGCTTCTCCCTCCTCCAAGTGTTTCTCTTCCATTGTCTCAGGATATCTCAGCATTTCTTCCCAAAGACCTGCCAACTGGACTGACTTCATTCTTTCTGTTCCTTCTCCTAACAGTTGAGCTAGGATGATCTGTTTTTAACTTAGGATGATGTTAAAGGGTAGGAGCTACTTGAGTGTAAGAAAGGAAAGAGTGATAAGAAAATTAAAGTAAAAAAAAAAAAAAAAAAGAAAATTAAAGTAAAACCAAAACCTATAATAAATGTAATAAAAATAATTGTTTCATTCTAAATCAGACTGGAAGAACATGCTATCATATGCCACTGACAAAATTTTAACGGGTGTTCTTATTAAGAAGAAAGTGAATGTGATGATGGGATTTCCAGGAAAGTTGAAGATAGGGTTATTGGGATGGGGTGGTGAATACATGAACATCAGGAAGTGGAGAAAGTAGGTCAATAAAAGTATCAAGTCTCAGTTTTACAATTATATGTAAATTTTAAATGTATTATATAAAGATTGTTACATAAGAAAGAATTTTAAATAATGATTTGATATCCCATCCCTTCCTGAAACTCCTTATGCGGGCTCTTTTTCTTTCCCCCTTTAGAACTTCTTTTTTTTTTTTTTTTTTCCTTTTGCTTCTTAAACTGATGTTTCTCAAATTGTGGCTTTAACTACCTATGTCAGAATCACCTAGAAGTTTGTGGAAATTGTGTAGTTCCTAGCCTCATGGCAGTCCTATTGAATGAGAATCCTTGGGTTAAACACCCAATATTTAACAAATTAGGTGATTCTTAAACAAACTGAAGATTGAGGGCCACTGCTTAAAGGCACATTGTCACTCAAGGTTCCCTTCTCAGTCTCTATATAGCTCTCTGCCTTGACAAACCCATTCCTTTCTTCATGTCTAACTGCTGTTTCTGAACAGAAGACCCCAAACTCCTTCTTTTATGTTCTGACCTCTTTTCTCACACTCATTTCCACAGTTCCAACTGTTTTAATCAGTAAGTCCATCCTGGCATTCGAAGGGGTTAACAGATAAGATCGAAACTCTCCAGATTTTCAGTAGAAAAGAATGATGGAACCAGAATCTTTAGGTGGAGAGAATGACCAGGAAATACGGACTGCCTTCTGAGTTTCACTTTTCCTTTGAAGGGCTTTCTTTTTTCTTACTAAAGCTGACCCCACCTCACCCCCCTTTAAATCTCAGAAATAGCATACTATAATGGTTAAAAGCATGGATTTAAATATTTTCTAGGAGTAGAATTTGGAGGCAAATTACTTTATTTCTCTAAGTTTTCTCTTCAGTAAAATGGAATTAAAACAATAATAGAGTTTTGAATGGGAAATTAAGTGATCAACACATTTTAAGCATTTAATACTGGACCTAGTGATTAGTAAGTGATCAGTTAATGTTAACTGTTATTAGTAATAAAAGCGAGGAGATGTTTCCTTCCTTTTCTTAGTATAGCTGGGATAGATTATAATTTTCCAAAAAAAAAATTTAATAAGAGAAAAAAGAAAGCATAAAAAAAGTCAAGCTTTTAAGGTCTAGGTTTCTAATTCTAGAGTACTTAACTTCTATCTAGTAGAACCTAAGTTCTTGGTCAAAAGAATCCCTAAGTAATCCAAAGGTTATTTCCCCTCCTGTTCTTTTCTTCATTCTTTCCAGAGAATGTGATTCCATCAGAGATCTTTGAGGAGAAAAAAATTTCATGGCCCTGCCTAGAAGGAAAACACACTCCTCCTATACTTTACCATAGGTTCCTATTACCACAAAAGTCAGGGTCATCAGGATCTCTCTTCTTCACTGGGAATAGAACCAGAGTTCATAAGTAGAGAAACCATTAGGTCAGTTAATCTCCTCAACTGAAGTCAGCAGTTTGAACTTTCCAAATCATCTGTGGAATTTCCAGATCATCCTGACTCTTCTCTTACCTTGTCCTACCCTGGTCTTGACTCTTCATCTTCATTGGTTGTCACTTGAATTTGGAATCTCATTACCTAACTTATTACAATAGATTCATAACTAAATGCCAAACTATTCTAGAATGATGTTTTACCATTTTTCTTAAAATACACCCCAGATCATGTCAGTCTCTGCCTTAACACTTTAGCAGTTTCACATTGCCTGTCACATTATTGCTAAACTCCTTCACCTAGCATTTCATACTTTTTATTCTGTTAACTACAACCTCTTTGGTTCAGTCTCATCTCTCTCCATTCCCCCCAAAGCCCCTCAAATTATAGTCGAACCCCATACTTTCTTGCCTTTTTACTGTTGTTTGGATTGTTGCCCTTCTCCCACCAAATCTTTGCCAACCAAATCCTTTCTTCCATGACAGTTTAAGTGCTACTCTTTCCTGATCACCTCAACTAACCATGGCTATTCTTCTGAACCTCCATACAGTGTCTATATAGTTCTTTAAGGCACTTGTTATTGGTGTATTACCACTGAACTCTGGCCTCCTTAGGGACAGGGAAAGAAATTTTTTTGGCACCTAGACAGTCATCAGAAAGTATTCAATATATGTTATATGTTCAACAAATTTTTGTTGAAGAAGTTATTGAAGTTGTTATACTTCTATAAATATGATAATAGAAAAATTATATTTTATAAAAATATTATGAGATTAATAATAATGTTTAGCTTGATTTCTTTCCAATACTTTATGAGTTAGAAATGCTTATTTGAAATTGTGTCCCTGTTTATAAGATTTTTGTTCATGATTATCCTGAAAAGAGAAGTGAACGTGTTCCTGTTTGTGTCTATAGATTGAAAAGGCCTACCTTATCTTCTTTGCTTTGAGTAAAATAACTAGCTTTTTTATTATATACACAGAAATATGGTCAACTTCAAGAATATCTAAATTGGGCGGATTACTTTCAAGATGAGAAGTTTGACTGAATTGTAACACATTTCCTTCAGAGAAGATTTATATAAATTCCTGTAAATGTGAAGATCATGGGTCTTGTTTCTCTGTATCATGTGGCATATTTGTATATTTTATGTGTATTTTCATGGCAAATATCTTGTTTAAAACATATATTCATCTTGATTTCCATGAAACGGCACTCTACAGTCAAATAAAAGTTTTATCTGCTGTACATAAAAACATTAGCCTAAAAATTTTTAAGTAAGAGTATTTTAAAGTTATAAAACAATGCCTTTATAACAGATGATTATCAAGCAAATGAACTGTTCATGTCCTGTCAGCTTAGTAGACAAATATTGTATTTTAAAAAATGAATTCAGACTAACATCTATGTGTAGTTATTATTGAATCCCTACCCAGATGTTTTTATTATCCTTTCACAGTATTAAATGATCTGCACTGATATATTCTTTACTGCTGTCATTATCTAAATCAGTGGGCCATGGAAGAAATGTAATGTTTCATTCAGTTCAATCCCATCATGTCAGAAGGAAGACTGTAGTTTACCCACTCTAAAGAGGAGTGCTTTTCTCCTTTTCTAAGGAGTCTTTCAACCCTCATATTCAGGATTAATTTCATGATATGTATTTTCATGCTTCATAATGTTCTTTCTATTTTTATTCAATTTGTCTACATTTAAAGATTAAGATGTATTTTATTTATTTTTATACATAACCCTTCCCATATATGTATTTATGTTAGGATCTGAAGACCTCAGACAAATTCAGCCGAAAATAGCTTAAAAGCATACTTTGGCATTTGCATTGCTTTGCACATCTAAATTTTCTCATAATATAATAAAGTGAAATGATTTCCTGGTGACCAAATGGACCCTGTCTATTCTGTATCTTTAATTCTTAAAGGTAATATCATAGTAGGATCTATTTTTTGGTGCAATTTTAGATACTTGTTTCTGACCTCAAGTGTTGACTGAACCTGGCTTCAGTTGTTAGGCGGGTTCATGCATGGAGTTCAGTGTATGTGCATATATAAAGAGCTACACTTCATTAAGTCCTTACATAGAGATTACTTAGTATTTGCTTCAATTTTCTGAAATTATCCCTATTCCTACTGTAAGCAAAACACGTGGAAAAAACTCACAAAGTGCTGAGAATACGGATGCTGATGTTTCATGTGAGGAGTACATACCTTTTTGAAAAGTGTGAAATAGAAATTTCAGTCACATATCTCTATTCTTATTTCTCTGGCATATGGAAATAATCCTTAACTAAAATGAAGCCATAGTTGAGAGCTGTAGATGAAGTGACAGTGCCCAAAAAGAAGCAAGGCAGAACTGGAGGAAAAGTAATAGTCAAGTTGGAAGGGTGAAGGATCATGAATGACTTGTAGAAAGGAAGGCCACGGAAAATGAAAGTGAATGATCTGTAAAGTATCTCTAATGCCCCCAGGAGCATCACTTCTCAGACGCGCGACACTGCAGACAAGCCCGAGAATGTTGAAGAGTGAGATTGCCTTCCACCTGGAGAGTTTTTTAAATTAATTTATGTATTATTTTAAATATCATGCATTTAATTTGTAAAAATTAAGGCACTAATGATTAGAGGGACTTAATGATGGCAGCTGACCCAGTTCCTAGGCCAAGCATCTTGCTGGCATGAAGCATTTTTCCCACTGGAACAGCATTCTGACTGTTGATCAGGAAATGTAAAAGTAGTTTTGCTGATGTCTGCAGTTACTGCAACCAAGCAAACTTCATAAGTGGGTGTTTGAAAACTACAAGAGGCTTTTTAGGTATACGGTAACACCAAAAGAATGGCAGAGAGACAAGCTGTTAGGAAATGGAAATGAGCCTGGAGTGGGGGGCCAAAAGCAAGGAGTCCATAAGAAAATTGAAATGTTGAAAAAACTGAATTAACCTCGAACAGGTATTATGACATGCTGTATTATTTTATCATTGCCATAAGCATCAACATCATTGATTTGCTTTAACACCAAAAAATACTTTGTAAATTTAAAATCTTACATGTCTGTGAAGTGTTTAGATCTTGGCATTTATTACTGTGGTGTTAGGTGCTTTAGTGTTAAGTAGCCATGGTTAGGAGAGATGATCAGTCAAAAATGGACAAGTAGAAGGAAAGCAATCCTTGAAGAATTCATATGGCTACACAGAAACAAGGGTTAGAGAACAATACCATTAAAAGGAGGGGAGGGAAATGAGGAACAAAATAAATGTTTATTTTATTGGCAGTTGGATGTAATTGACCACGTTTTCTCACTTGTCTGCTCTCACCTTCAGATGGGTGGTTCTATTCACTACTCATTTCTTGGAGGCTTAGACTCTAGCAAGCTGATGAGAGTGTAATTGCAGCTTTGCGATATTGAGGCAACAAGCCCAGTGCTTAAGAGAGCACAGGTTTGCCATCGGTGTTGAGGTAGAGCCCTGAGCTGTTATTTCCTAGTCACATGAACTGGAACAAGGAGTTTAATTTCTGGGAGCCTCAGTTTCCTCACTTCTAAATGAGGTTAATAATACTTATCTTTCAAGACTGTGGATTAAGGGAGATCTATGTGAAGTGCTGTGCCTGAAACCGTGATTAAATAAACAGTAGCTGATATGAATGGAAATGAGGATGTGCATGATAATGATTTCAGCTTGAATTTAATGGGCTGTAAAGGAAAAATGTATATAAAAGACACTCTAAAAAAAGTGACTTACACCACTGAATATAGTATGAAAATCTATTAAACTCCTGCTTGACATGTTTTTGAGGTATGTCCCTGTCTAGCATGGAAATAAAAATTTGTATCAGAAAGGAACAGCGGATTTGACTAAGGATTCTGAGTTACTAATGAAAATCAATGCTATGGCATCACTGTCCAGTAAATAGTGTTTTAAATTTAAATGTTACATTTTCTCTTTTATCAAGTATGATCGCTGAATATAAAGTACCCATATAATGGAAGATAATGTCTAATGAGTACAACTTTTTAAAAAATCAAATGTAAAATGATCAAAACTCCTTCAATTTTTAATGACATCTCATGAGAGAGTTCCCCATCAAATCTGCATACCTAACAAAAACAAATTCCTGCCTTTCCCCACGTAACTAGTGAGGAACTTAGCCCTGGAAAGGACAGAAGTTCCAATGACAAGTAAAAAAAAAAAAAAAGAAGAAGAAGTTACATCCCATCAGAGTATACTTGTCCCCAATTCCAAACAAATATCCCAGAACTTGTGAAAATAAAATGGACTAAAGCAGACCAGCCTATTGGGAACTAAACTGTAAATAAATCTAGTCTTAACCATGTTTCCATTGACTTTACCCATTCATTTCTTTCCATAGGTCAATTTGGAGAAGGGCTGTGTCACTGAGGTGGGAGAATTAGTTTAGATTAATGAAGTCCCATTGCTTGAGACCTCAAATCCAAATGACTTCGGAGTTAGGACACACAGCATGGTTATGGTCCTGACGATCCCAATTTTGTGTTCACCTAAACTTCTTGAAAACTCCACAGCTACATACTGAGTTTCCTCCATGCATATATAAACCAGATAGCCATGGATCTTGCAGTTACTTGTCATAAGTAATCTTGTATTTTCAAAGAAAAACCTTCATTTTCTTTTCTAGAACTGGGACCGGTGATTTCATCGTCATAAAATCTTTTATTTACCCCTGCTGAATTGCTTGGAATCACCCAAGCTGACTTACCCAAAGACGCACAGAACAGGCAGGCAGGTAGACAGACACTAGCCTCCCCTTTCCGGGTGGGCTAGCGATGTGATTTCCTCTTCGCAACCCCCCCCACCACCACCACACGCACATCCTCGCCCGCCTTCCTTATTATACTAATGAACTAATGAGCATTTCCTCGGTGCTCACCCAGCTCTCGCTGGGGTGCTCAGTGGTGTCCTCTACAACATATTGAAAAATGAAAATGATTTCCTCAGGGGGGCGTCAGGTAGGTCTGAAAGGGAAACTACATTCCCTGGCCGGGAATTTCTTCAACATTTAGAGCTGGTGAAGTACATGTGTAGAGGTTGGGGAATTTCCCCAACCTTCCCCACTCGGCCAAGTCAGGCTAAGGGAGCCCCGCCGAGACGCGCCACGCGCAGGCTGTGGGATTTACGTCTCCGGCCACTGGGAGGCCCTCTGCGTTCCCCTTTCTCGGGCGCCCGGCTGCAATTACTCACTCGTGCAGTGACACCAGCCTTCCACCAGGGAGCCGCCGCTCGGCTCTCCCGCCCGCCCCCTCCCCCCGCCCCCATCTGCAGCTTGCTGGCTCTCTCTTTCTCCCTCTCTGTCTCACTCTCTCTCTTTCTCTCCCTTTCCTATCGGAGCACAATGAAAGCCTGTGTATCGCCGTGACTCCGGGCAGTGGAGCCAGTGTCAGCAAAGCGGCTAACAACAGACGGGAAAGAGAAAGGAAAATACAAGCTACTTTTTTTTTTTTTTTCTTTCCATCTATAAAGCGGAGCAATACAGGAGATAGAACCACATTGCTTATTGCGAGTCCAGACCCTCAGATCCACTGGCCGGGGATGGAATGTACAAAAGTGGACAGAAAAGTGGCTGGACATGACTCGGTGCAATTTGCTGGAAGTTTGTAAGTTTGACCATCGTTTGTAAATTACTCTCGGAAGAGTTTGTCTCTCTTGATACTGTGTTAGAATAGAGCCGCCGGGGGTGAGGAAGCGTAAGCGGGAAAGAAAAAAAAAATGTGTTGAAGGATCTCTCTCAGTGGCTAGCGACTTCAGACTGCTTTCATTTAAGGCTAGGAAACCGAAGAGGGAATGAGGATTTTTACCGGTGATTGGATTAGCTGAAGAAAAGAGCATGGTCCAAAAGTCCAGTTACTGACATTGTTAACAATTGAAAAGCTATCTCCCTCTTTTGGGAGAAGACAACATCCTACAGTACCCCAAAGAGGAGAAAACACCGGAGCCAAGGGAAAGGGAGGAAAAATTAAAAGCCAACAGACAGCCTCTCTTGATTTTTTGTACATTCTGAACATTGACTTTGAAAATTTTCGGAAACAGCACTTTTTTTCCTAACCCGAAGAAAAGTAAAGGCTGCAGGTTACATAGACGTGGTAGAGATGTGTTTCTCTGCAGAAACATCCCCATAAAAAATTTTTCTGAAACAACTAGGTGAGGGGGAGTCCAGTCTCTATTAATACTCCTCTCAATTCCCTTTGCTGTCTGTTTCTGTCTCTGGCTTGACAATCCCTGAATTCTTGCTCTAACCCCTAGATCGTGTGTTTACAAAGTACCTAGGGGCTCTTGTCAGCCTGGTGGGGGGAAAAAAAACCCACCAACTCTGTCCAACTTCTCGAGAGCTGTCAAATGCAATTAGAGTAAGTTGATAAGGGTTTGTTTCCAACTAATCCTCTGCGACTGGTTCTGCTCTGTCTCCTCACCCTCTTTTTACTAACTCCCCTCCCCCACACCTTCTCCACGGCTCCCCCTAACCTCTGAAGACCTCTATTCATGTGGCCCTGAACACTGAGCTCACATTGTCAAAAACAGACTTGCCTGCAATAGTCAGCAGTAGCCTCCTTCCACCTCACCATCGCAGAGGCAGCATTGTGTCCAGTAAGATGGGGGACACAGCGCCCCCACAGGCCCCCACAGGAGGGCTAGGGGGGGCCCCTGGGGCGGGGCTCCTTGGAGGGGGCTCAGTCACCCCGAGAGTGCACAGTGCTATCGTGGAGCGCCTCCGGGCTCGGATCGCCGTCTGCCGCCAGCACCACCTGAGCTGTGAAGGACGCTATGAGCGCGGTCGGGCTGAGAGCTCAGACCGGGAAAGAGAGAGCACCTTGCAGCTCCTGAGCCTGGTACAGCATGGCCAGGGGGCAAGGAAGGCTGGCAA